GGCTCGCCTTCCGCCTCGAGGTGCACACGGCCGGCTACGTGGGCTTCGGCTTCTCGCCCACCGGGGCCATGGCTGCGGCCGACGTCGTCGTGGGCGGGGTGGCCCACGGGCGGCCCTACCTCCAGGTAAGCGCGTCCCCTCCGGAGCCTCCGCTCAGGGCCCCGCCCGTCCCGATCCCGGTCAGGCCACCCCGTTTCCTCTCCGGGTGAGGCTGCACGCTGCCGCCCCCCGCAGCGCCACACCCGGCAGCCCCAGCCAGGCACCCCCTTCGCCGTCAGGTCCTGCACCCCCAGAGCCTAAGGCGCCCGCGCCTGGGCTCCCCAGCTCGCCTCCCGGCTCCAAGGCTTCGCCCGGGGAAGCTGAGCACGGTGACCCCAGACAGCGCTCCGTCTCCGAGCCCTGTCCCGTCCCCAGCGCCCCACTTAATACATCCCCCATGTACACACCTGGGAGTACCCCTACTTTTTCCCTGATGGGAAAGGAGAAGGACCGGCTTTGGGGACCTAACGAGTCAGCGCTCAAGGTTCAGGGGACCAGAGAGCTTTAGCATCTGCTGTCTTGCTGTCTGGGGTCCGGGATCTCGGAAGTCCCCACATGGCGGCTACTCTGGAGCCTCCGGCTGGGTCAGTTAACTCGTCCGAGGAATGAATGGAAACGTCCCCAAGAATCCTTAGGAACTTTGCTATTCCCAGAGCCATTAGAAAGCCGCAAAAACTCTGGTTTCCTCAGTCCGCAGGCAAAACCCCCTATTAAGTGGCAAAACTTTTCACTTACTTTAATAGCTAGCAAAATTAATTTGACAGCTGCCGATTTACTTTGAAAGAGCCCGAGTACAGACATTGTCTGTTCATAGACGTTTTGTGAATAGGAAAAAATAAAAAAAAATTGTGAGATAACTAGAGGGATTATGTAGTTATGTTTTCTGGACATCTTTGCGTATTTGATCTTGATCAACATTTGGACACTTCTCCACCATTTCATAACATCGTGGTGAATACACTGTTACTTATCACAGTTCATCCCAAAATACTGCCCTTTGCCAAAAGTCTCTTGATCCAGATACAAATTAGTTGCGTTGGCATTGTCTTAAGGCTTTGACGATATTAAAATCGAGGTATTCGGTGGATTTCGAAGAGCATTTCTTAGTCATTTTATTTTCCTCTTCTAAGTTTGATTTCCACAGCATTCTGACTGAGATGCCATTAATTTTGGACCCTAATTCTGGCATTGAGCTATTAACTCTGGCTAGAAATAAACAAAATGACAGCAATAAAAACTTTAAAGCCATTCCATTGTCTAATTTTTCATAAACGAATCCTTTCCTCCCAAGATAAGAATGCTGCAACTCCAATAAAATTAAGTTTTATGAGGATTATACTCTTTTGAAATCATTGATGTAGAAATTTTTTTTCTGTTGCAGCATATCAGACATTAAATTTATAAACCAAGAACTTGAATTATTTAAATACCTATTTGAGACAAGTCTTTTGTTGTTGTTGTTGTTGGTTTGTTCAGAATGGGGAGGGTCATATGCCCCTTAAATATCCTTCCATATTTTATTGAAGGGAGCATGGAAAAGCTTACTCTGGTGATACCATAAAACAGAGCATGTATATTTGATATTGTTTTCACTGAAAGAATAGCATTTCTAGAAAGCCCATCCAATTTGATATCAAATGAAAGGCTAAGAGTAGAAATCTGTTTCAACATGCTATAATGGGCACACCACAAGCACAGAGTTGTTAAACTGCAGTGTTTTCGTGCTGCTGGTGGTTCTTCATAAAGATCGTATACAAATCAATTAAGTGCTCTTTAGATTGGTTTCCAGCCACAGAACATTTCTTAATTAGTAAACACTTATCACTATGAGATAAACCTTAGAAATGGACACTACCAATATATTTAATCAGCGTGAATTAGGACTTTCAATTCTATTTTTATTTCTAAAGAAATAAAATCCTTATTTTCATAGATAAAGGATAATCATTTTCCTAGTTGACTGACATCTTTTACTATTCCATTTCCTTAGACATCCCACTCATTTTAGGACATACAGTAGACAATAAAAAATTATGCTTATCAGTTAAGTAGAAAGAAATTTTATTAAAGAACTCTTTAATAAAATGAAAGACCCCAAACACTGAAAATAAAAAGAAATAAATCAGTTCCAGCTGGATCATCCAGTCTGGGTGATTCAATTTTCCAACACTTGAAATTGAATCTTCTCCCTGAAAAGTATAAATCTGAGATTCTTTATACAGTAACTTCATCCTTAGCAACTCTATCAAAAAGTAGAGAGTGTTCTTAAACACAGTGTATGTGATTCCATTAGTAGACATTGAATTTTGTGTAATTTACTCCCAGTGAGAACAAACTGTGCATGAAACAATCCAGCAAAAACGCTGGCTTCTGGGACACCATATTGGATAGCATCAGGCTGTGTGACAACAATCTAAGTTGACATCCTGGTTACCTCCCCTCGTGGCTATTTTCCATATATTTTATTTCATCCTTATTTAATTTTAAAAAATTGACCTTTAGATTTTTTTTACATTCTATTATTTTTCTGATGATCTTAAACTCTGGTTTTCAATATGATGTTAACACCTGGATAACTATATAAGAGTAAATCCCAACCAGCCAGGTAGAGAATTGTTGGCTAAATAGATGTCACAAACCCAAATGCCCGAAGGGGTCAGGCAGCAGATGTAGAATAGTGGCAAGGCTTGAGTGGGTCAGGCAGGATGTCAAGCCGCAGAGCTGAGGGGATTGAGGAAACCAGAGTTTCTGCATGTGAATTACTGTTCCGTGGGGATGCAAATCAAGTATTGCCAGATCTTCTGTTTGTTTTTTGGAAAGTAGACCAATTTTTAGATTGCGTGTGTGTATGTAAATAAAATCTCCTGATTACTAAATAGCAGCCCCAGTTGGCATTGGTACAAAGCACCATGTAGCGCACATAGACACAGACGATTTCAGCTGAGGTATATCCCATGGGCAGCTTAATCTGGGACCAAGAGGGAAAAAGTTAAAGTTAATAAAGAATTATGAAAACCCATGAAAAGCAGAGAGGCAGTTCCCATTTCTCTTCAGGCCAGGTTTATTCTGTGCCTGGAAATGTCCAGTGTCAGAGGGAACCTCACCCCTTCTTCTAGTTATCTATCCTTGTGTAATGAACCACCCCAAAACTTAGTGGCTTAACACAGTGACAACACTTATGTTGCTCACAAAGCTGCAGCTGAGCAGGCTTAGTGGTGCTAGGTCTCTGCTCCAAGGTGAGTGGTTGGAGTCATCTGGAGGCTCTCTTCGCTCGTTTGCCTGACCAGCAGTTGATGTTGGCTATTGGCTGTTGGCTGGACCTCCGCTGGTACTGCGGTTGGAACGAGCCCTCTCCATGTAGCGGCTCGGCTTCCTCGCAGCACAGTAGCTGGGTCCCAAGAGGGAACATCCCAAGGGGCCCAGGTGGGAACTGTACAACCCTTTAGAATTTAGCCTCGGTGTCATGGGCTGTGTCTCCTGCTGCAGTCCCAGCCCCACTGGATTCGAGAGGGAACACAGACTCCACTTCAACTTCATGGTGTGAGAAGGTCACATGGAAATAGAATACATCAGTGTGGCCAACACAGGAAAATGGGATGTGAGAAGATGGTCATGTCCCAGGTCTTAGGTATGTCCCTGGGATGTGCCCTGCCCAGTGAGGGTCCTTGGCTTTGTGCAGGAAACAATTCAAGAGCAAGCCATAGTTGAGTAAAAGCAGATTTATTCAGAGAGATGCCCACTCCATAGGCAGAATGTAGGTCATCTCAGAAGGCCAGAGAGTGACCATGAGGTGGGGGATTTTTAGTTTTTATGGGCCTGGTAACTTCATATGCTGACAAGTAGGGGAATTATTCCATCTACTTTGGGGAAGGGTCTGGGATTCCCAGGAATTGGTCCACTGCCCTCTTTTTGACCTTTTATGGTTATCCTCAGAACTGTTGTGGCACCTGTGGGAGTGCCACTTAGCATGCTAATATATTACAATGAGCGTATAATGAACTCAAGGTCTACTGAAGTTCAAATCTCCCACCGTCTTGGGCCTCAAGCTCTGTTAGGAGTTGAATCTGCTGTGTCATTCCTTTAATGGTTGTCATCCCCTGCCCCCTTTCCTCCTGTCTCATGACCATCTTTGGAAAAGCCATGCTACAACACCCATCCTCACTGACTTGCCAGTCTCCCTTCTGCCACCACTTTGAGCACCTGTCTACATGTATCCACTCTCTCGACACTGCTAAGATTGGGAGGCAAGTGTTTACTTATTCATCGTCTTTCCTTTTCCTCTCTCTCTCTCTCTCACACACACAAACACACACACACACACACACACACATCACTCACAAGGAGTTAGTGAACAGCTAGTCCCCCTATTCCACACTCCGTCCACCCCTCTCCCCAGAAAAGGAGTTTTAAACCTCCACAACCTCATATTTTTCAGTGGTTCCCTAATCACTAACTCAGGGTTGGACCTGATGAGACTACCTCCAGGGGGCAGTGAGACATTTGCTTGTAGGCTTGTGGAGTGTAAAATTGGATTGCAGTTTCCTTGCTTGGACACCCTTAAAACTAGACACAGAGGTGAGATATTATGGAAATTTGCCCTGCTCGTTTAGTAACCCTCTGACCCTGTATAGAGATATGTCTTCAGATGGTCTATAACCAGGTGTGATCAAAATGGGGGAAAAAATATTGTGGTTGCTAAGTGAAGCCAGTCTCAGTGTCATCTATTGGATGCTTTGCTCTGCAGTGGCTCACGACTGGGGACACATTACCCCTGGGATGCTGCCGAGGTTAGTTTTGATTCTGCCTTACACCAAATTGCCAGGGGTCGGGGTGAGAAGCAGTCTTGCCTTTTGCCTTGGCTTTTGAGAACCTAACTATTTTGCCTCAATGGGTTAACTCAAGTCTCACTTCCCTGATGGATTCGTGTCCTTTCCTTGTACTTTGCCCCTTTTTGACACAGAGCAATCCCACCCCCACCAAGCCACTTAGCAACTGTGAGTCCCCATTTGAAGGAAGTAATCTGGCTTGATGAATGCCCAGTTTGTGCAAGTTAGAGAAGAGGGCGGCATTGTCAGATATGCCTGTT